CTCAAAGACGATCTTCGCTCGACTAACCATGAATCATTTGACAAGTAGAAAACTCGTTAATTCATCAGACTGTTGTCAAGAGAAAATATCAAAGGCAAGCGCTTTCAAGAAATTTTACAACGTTAACTTATCTTGATAAGTGTTTGAGAAATGTTTCTAATTTCCGCTAGTGTATTTAGCAAACAATTATTCCTCAAAACGTGACGCAGTTGACCCACAAGTCTTACACTTGATGACCTGTAAGACGAATACCAAAAAGCAAGTTCCTAGCTTCAATTCAAATGAAATTTGAGTCTAGTGCTCTGTAGCGTGTGATATATTGTATCTGTTTAATATTGTGAGTATCTACCAGTATGCCGGCTATTAATTGCGACCAAAATACCAAAATTTTTGACGAGAAACTCAATCCACTTCACTCGACAATCTCCGAGTTAAAAAATCAGTAAAAGAGGCGATGAGTTTTCTCGAATTTGTGAATGCGTAGTATGATGAATTGTTAGAGATGATGAAGAGCTCAAAGGAGGACAGAAAGGCTTTGAAAGATGAGAATAAGATTTTGCACGATGAGAATAAGATCTTGAAGGCACCAACTCGCAGCATTGAAAGTTCACTGGAATCAATTACGAGAGCGAACAATGATCTGGAGCAGTACACTCGTAGAAAGTGAGTAGAAATCCGAGGAATCCCTGCCGGTGCTACTCCATCAGAAGAGCAAACTAATAATGTTGTGACGGATGTCAGTAAACTACTGGGAATGGATATTACTCAAAATGACATTTCAGTAAGTCATCGAATGCCTCAAAGTCAAAAACACAAAGTCAAGCCTGGACCGCCAGCTATTATCGTCAAATTTACTAGGCGTGACGTCAAAGATAATTTCTACCGTGCAAGAAAGCAGCTCAAGGACTTAAAAACGCGAGATCTTGGATATTCCGAGAAAAACAAGATCTATCTTGCAGAGAGCCTGACAGAAAGGAATCGAATGTTATTCAAAGATTGTTTGAAGGTAAAGAAGGATATGGAGTTCAAGTTCATTTGGACTTTAAATGGAAAAATCTTCATGAGAAAAGACAAAGACTCTGCAGTTCACCATATTAATAACAAAGAGGATCTTCAGAAGATACAATCTAGATAAGTATTTATTTTCTGAACTTTGATGATTTGATGAAATGTTTAAAATGTGTAACTGATGCTAGTTATATGGCCTGTGATTGGCCAATTCACTTAATTTCCATCTTTAAGTATCAATTCTCCTAGTAACATTCCGCACCTCACTGATATAGATGCTGACCTAAACATGCCTTTGGAAAACAATTTTAGTTTCTATAGTACTCATGATTTTCATGGTAATTATGACATCAATGAGTGTCTATTGAGTGGTCAATCTTTTTCTTTGATTAATTGTAATATTAGGAGCCAATCAGCCAATTATGATAAATTCTCAAACATGTTATTAGAGCTATATTTTCCTTTCTCATTAATTGGTCTTACTGAAATCAAGCAGAAAATTGATGAGCCTCCTATATCTAACACTGACTTATGTGGATATCAGTATCTCTCCCAGCCAAGCCTTTCCAATCTGGGGGAGTGTTGCTTTCTACATAAAAAATTACTTAAATTTTAACATAAGACCTGAATTTACAATCACTGCTGATGATTTTGAAGCCTTATGGATTGAGGTACATAATAATTGTCATTCAAACTTGCTCTGTGGAATAATTTATAGGTATCCAAATGGTGACTTAGAAAGATTTATTGAATATGTGAGCTCCACAACTGATAGAATTAATCAAGAAAACAAAACTTGTATAATCATGGGAGACTTTAACATAGATCTTTTGAAATTTCAATCACACTCAGCAACTGATGGTTTCCTTNATGCATTTAATGATTATCTTGCCAATATTGGTAAAAACCTAGAAAGTGAAATACCAAGTGTATCCAATAGCCCAATGGTATATCTGAATAATCCTGTATGTAATAGTTTTTATTTTTTCCTGTAACTTGTAGTGAAATTGAAACTGAAATATCTAAGTTAAAAACTGGCAAGTCTGTAGGGCCATTCAGCATTCCAATTGATATAATAAAAATACTGAAAGCCTATATATCAAAACCTTTGGAGATAGTTTTTAATGCTTCTTATTTAACTGGAGTTGTTCCCAGTGATTTTAATAGCAAACGTTGTACCTGTGTTCAAATCACAGTCATCCTTGTGCAATTACCGTCCCATCTCTCTTATCTCTGTCTTTAGTAAGCTCCTAGAAAAACTTGTATATAATAGACTAATCAAATTCTTAGAAAAAAACAAAGTCTTATTTGAAAACCAATATGGTTTCAGAACTAAGCACAGTACAGACCATGCAATTCTTTGCATAATTGACAAAATTCAGAAAGCAATTGATGATCAAAGCTATTCCTGTGGTATATTCCTTGATTTTATCAAAGCATTTGACACCGTCAATCATCAAATTTTGATTAACAAACTAGAGTATTACGGTATTTGAGGTCTTGCCAAAGATTGGTTTATTTCCTTCCTCAGTGGCCGACAACATGTTGTTACTGTCAATAATGCAACATCCACAAAATGTAATGTAAGTTGTGGAGTACCACAGGCATCAGTACTTGGCCCTCTGTTGTTTTTATTATATGTAAATGATTTTCATTGTTGCTCAGATATCTTTGAATTTCATCTCTTTGCAGATGATGCAAATTTGTTTTATAAAAGTAAAACTTTCTCTATGCTAGAATCAAACATAAATGTTGAATTAAATAATATTCACATATGGCTCTGTGCTAATAAGCTCTCACTCAATGTAGAAAAGTCAAATTTTGTAATTTTCCACGCACCTCAAAAGAAACTTGAATGTCAAAATTTCATGCTGGCTATAAATAATAAGCGACTTAAGCGAGAGTTCTGTGTAAGGTATCTGGGCATCCTAATTGATTCACACTTGAACTGGAAACACCATGTTGAATGCATTGTTAAGAAAATTAGAAGAAGCACTGGTATCCTCTCTAAACTTTGTTATTATGTTGGCCTAGATATTTTATTAAGCTTATATTATGCACTTATATACCCTTTTTTGACCTATGGAATAATTATCTGGGGAAATACCTCTAAGACCACTCTTAACCAATTTTCATTTTACAAAAAAAGAGCAGTGCAATTAATTACCTCTTCTAGATTTGATGAGCACTCTAGTCCTTTATTTAAATCTCTTGAAATTATAAAATTCCTAGACCCAGTAACTTTTCATTTAGCAATCTTTATGTATAAATATCATAATCAATTATTGCCATCAGTCTTTAATTCTTTTTTTAGTAAAATTCTGCAAATTCATACCTATGGTGCAAAACAGTCTTATTATCTTCCAAAAGCAAGAACAAATTATGGTATATTCAATATCAGATTTCAAGGTCCATCAGTATGGAATTCCATTGACGAAGTTATAAAATTATCTTCATTGTCTTTGTTTAAAAAGAAAGTGAAGCAGCAATTTATCAAAGATTAATAGACATCTGTATTGTCTGTGTAACTTTAAAATGGTAATAATACTGTTTTGCAATGTATGAATTTTAGTCTCTATAATATACTGGTAGTTTATTTTTGTGCTTGTTTCTGTGTTTCTTTGTTTCTTTGTTTTTGTGTCCCTGATCAAAACATTTAAACATCTTTTCTTTTAACTGGCTGCGTGGCATTTTTAACTCTTAGGTTGTTTCAGGCAGCCAGTGCCCCTATCATTGTCTGCACTATATTATTATAAATTTTTCTTTCTTGTATATTATGGGGTGAAAAAAATAAAGTTGTTGTTGTTGTTGTTGTTAGGGGAATAGTTTTTAAGATGGCGGAGCAATTCAAAGGTAGAAATGCTGCTTGGTTGAAAGAGTATTTGACAAAGCGAGGAATACAAGTTTCTGACCAAGGTCGTGGGAAACGTAAAGCAGAACTAGTCGAGCTTGTACATGCATTTACTTAATTTTTTCCTTTTGGTCAAGAAATAATCTCCATTTGTCAATATTTCAGCTTGAATCATTGATTCAAATCTTCGAATAACAAGACACTTGTGTTTTTATCACCTGTAAGTGAATTTTGAGTGTTGACTGATGTCTGAAATGTCATCCAACTCAAAATTGTGTGATTGCTGCAATAGTACTCTGATACTTTGTACATTCTTGTGATTTGTATATCTAGCCAACTATTACCTATGACACGGATAAAGATAATGGAAAGAAAACACCTGTTAAAAGTAATGGTTGGCTCT